TACATATAATACTACGTCGTACATAATATATTTAAATATCATATAAAAGGGTAGTGTACAGTTCAATTATTTAAAGTAAGAGTAAGTTATGACTATTACGACTCTTGTATTAAACTATTTTTAAGTAGGTCAAAGAACAAAGTAACTTTCGAAGAAATGTTGTAATTAGCAACTACAAATTAATGTAATTGAGTGATGTTTTTATTTTTTTTTTACGGAAATTACTATCAAAGTTAACTGACACGTCCGCTACACAAAATTTGTTTTAAAAATAAGTAAATAAAAAAAATAATAAAACACGTAATAAGTAAATGTCACTTTTGCCCTAAAGCCTATAAACACCCATTCAAATAACGATCGTATACAATAATAATATGAAATAATAACTATATTTTTATTTCAAAACACGTTTTATATCGCCAACCTATTTAACTTTGTGTGGACAATCGATATAACCCTATAACAATAATACTCTGAAGTTTGACAATAGATTTTTTACACACACAACATCAATTTTGTTTCGGCAAACAACTATATTTTGTAAACTTTAAATGCTCGTTGATATGTTTCCCGATTGACTACCTAACCATAGCCATGGTACAATGTATTACTTTTTCTTCCGACTATACTATACCTTCATAAATCTTTTATCTTGAATATCTTAAACTTCAAATAAGTATATTTTGACTTAAAAAAATTGATTACAACTTTTTGGTGGTTTTCKGCTCTCGAGTCATCGAGTACACATTGATGATTTATTGATTGTGTTTTGAATTTTTAAATGATAATTTAATAATATTTGTGTCTTTGGTAAATTCTCTGTAGGCTTCATATTTATACTTTATTGTCGCAGTCATACGGGCAGAATACTCATTATTATTGCGTACGGCGATGTAATTTATTTACCGTGTAACTATGTTATGATTTTTTACCAATTTAAAATTAATTGGATTGGCTGATGATTAGGCCGACGCGCAAAAAATGAAAAGCGTTTTAAATAATATATCAGCGCACTGCTTACATGTTGGTCGGTAACGAGTAGTGTAAAAAATAATTGTGATCGACAAAATGATAAAAAAAAAAAATCCCCCACATATTTTTTGCCTACATGTTTTTTTTTTTATGTCACTCCCTCTGTGCTGCATAGGCACTTATATACGTATATATTGTAACATTATAATGTTTCAGTATAAGCAAAAAGTCTTTATCGGATTTTGGACCGTATAGAAAATACATTATTGCGGGTAAATTCGTGTGTATTTTATAAAATATTGTTGCTGCGGGATATATAATATTCTGACCGTATGTTGTATTTTTTTGTGCTTGCGTGAAGAAATGAGTGAAAAGAAAAATGATAGATCATCGTAAAATAATATTCTACACGACGTCTACGCTCTCCCGCTCTCTTTGAAGCTACCTAACCTATTCAAAACAGTTGTATGCCATTTTCGCTAACATCAGCAGATCGCTCAAGGAACATTAACTGATTAATGTACACGGCGAATGATCGTCATTGCAGAGATGATACCTAAGATACGATATCTACGCATTTGAGTTGCTCTAAACATGTACGTCATATTTTTTTTTTTTTTTGCATTTGTACAGTTTTTGTACCTACTGAGATATTTTACTGTACTACCCGTATAAATATGTTCTTAAATAGATCAAATAAAAAGCAATATAATTTATTAAAAATTTTATTGAAATAATTAATCAAATATCGTGGATCTAAATATGTATTTCATATAAGTTTTCCAGTTGTTCTTTTTTTACAACATATTGAATAAAACATTGTAAAAAAAGAAAAATATGTATATATATTTTCAATCGTGACATCAGGAGATAACAATTGTTAAGGTTATAAAAATATAATACCATGATATTATTATACCTATTATAATTAGTAATTACCACCTCTGATATATATTACCAATAGGTGTACATTATCTCAAAAATGAAAAGTAAATAAAACTGATTTAGGATAGGTAGGTACAATTTACTACATGTTTATGCCTCGAATATATTGTGATTAACCAATTACTCATCCCCTTTTTTCCTTTAATACTGAATTTATTCATATTTAAAGGTTTGGAATTTTTAAGTATATATTATACATAAGTACCATATTTTGTTTAAAAAAAAAATGATTTTTATCGTATATTTTAATGTACTCCAATCAAAGTTATTTTGAAATAATAGGCAYTYAGAAAATTGTACAAATTATAAAATGTTGATAGGTTAATATTATTAAAATTACTAAAATATTCAAAACTTCATACAGCCTCTTATTTATATCTCCCAAATCCGCGGATCTATGAAAAAAGCAGTTAGTAAATTAACTTAAAAACTACAACTATCAAAAATTAATATAGATACTTCAACCGTGATTATTTAAATTCCGATTTACTGCAATTTACTAGAAAAAAGAGAAATTTTTGTTTGAAAAAGAAATAAGAAAAGGTTGGTTAGGTACAGCTAGGGCATCACTTATATATATAAATACTTAAAAATTACAAAAATAATAATTTGAATCGATTCGTTGTTAAAGTAAAAAATAAGGACATATATACACAGATAGTATATGTGTGTGTGCATGTATGTGTTTGCGGTGAATCTCATTAACTAGGTATGTATATTTTTTTCTCCCTGCTTTATTTTTATCTTCTTAGGTTTACAATGTTTACATTTAAATATTTATAAAAATTGTAGTATTATAATATAGGTTTTGGTATTGGGCATTGGAATTTATCTTCTCATTRTATTTATGTGTTATAAAAATTGGTTTTTGATGATTTGGTGTTATGCGAAAKTAAAAACTTAAGATCGTAAAAATATTATGTAGGTGCCTATTTTAATCGTTGAATTGAGGAAAATTAGAAAAAAAGAGCCGCATTTTCTGTACGCAATACGGTTTTTTTTTTAGCACAAGTTTAGGCTAAGTTCAAGGCTGTTTACTTTTTATTATTATAAATCCTTATGGCCTCTCTTGTTTGGCGATATATATATAATATATATTTAACTATATTTATTTACTTTTTTTTTTTTAATAAAAATTTTAGATTTATTTCTGTACAATACTACGGGGTATAAATCACACGCAACCCACTTCCCGCTTATCACTCCTTTCGGCCGGTGCTTTTTTCTACTGGCGTCGATGACGTAAGAAAAACCCCGACACGCAGACCTCTATACATCCAATGAGTAGCATAATACCAACACCGATACTGAATAGGTATAATATTATTATAAAAGTAGCCGTCCAACCACGTGCGCCTGGCGCCTGCTGTCCGACGCGAGCCCAACATTTTGTGACAATAATATTAATCTACTAATCAGTAATCAGTGATCACGCWACCTATATGAGTACACTTTGTTGCAGCCGCCCCATCAGTGAACTAAACCGAAAGAAAGTTTWAAAAAAAAATGTAAATATTATATTACCCGTTATACATCAACATCACAATTCACGTTATAGTATTAACTCATATAAGCTACCGTAGAAAGGTTTGTGAATAACCCCGTTGTGTAAATAGCTTAAAATGAATCCAAATATTTTGAATAGTTCATTGTATACTTGCGTAAATTAATAATTTACCATCGCGTATTGGTGAAATTGTTCCCTTATGTTTTGTGTCACTRCAAAAGGTACATAATTACTATTTAAAATAGATAGATATTTTTCTTTCAACTGTCTCAAAATGTTAACTTAAAATACTATTTTTTTTTTTTTTAACTACTTATTTTCGATGTTTTTTAACTGCAATAAGAACCATTTATGAGGACCCTTGTATTTTATTCCTAAGCTTAATCATTGAGATTGTTAATTTTAAAAGCGGAACTATAGATAACGATAGATTTTGTACAAAATAATTTGCGAATTTCCATAGGAACTAATTTAATAAAATAATAAAGAGTTATGAGCAAAAAATAAAAACGTAAGCTGAACGCGAAACAGCCTATATGTATCATGTTTGATAYTATATGTGACCAATTTGTAWCTGCTATACAGGGTGTCCCGTAAGGATTTACCCGTTGCGATATCTCCCGAAAGAATGATGATATCGAAATTCTGGTTTTGTATTAAGACTCACAAGGAGTGTGTCTTGTAGTTCTTTACAATTGTTTCATATTTTAATGTTTTGGTAAAAAAGTTAAAAAATATATTTTTATATTTAATTATTTCCAAAAAAGTTAGTTGGCCATTTTTTAGAGTTTATTTTTTAAAAAATATTGACGTTTCAAAATTTTATTTTTATTAATTTTCTGATTTTTAATATTTTTTTTAGTTTCGAAAAAAATTGCGATTTATTCAATACCATAATAATGTTATCAAACATGTGACCCACTGCGCCGCGCGCATTCCCATACGACCGGCAAAATACATTCCGTGTTCCTAATAGTTATAAATTTATAATCATATTTTATTTCTTCAAAACTAGAAAAAGTATTAAAAATCAGGAAACTAATGAAAATAAAATTTTGAAACGTCAATATTTTCAGAAAAATAAACTATAAAATGGCTATCATTATTTTTTTTTGGAAATAATTGTAGTTCTTATCCCTGTAAATCTTATTATAAAACCAGAATTTTGATATCTTCATTATTTCGTGAGATATCGCAATGGGTAAATCTTCGCGGGACACCCTGTATATAATACATATTTAGGTATGTCTTCCTAAATTATTTTATACCAAATAATTAGTTATTCAATTAACATAATAAAATCATCTTATATGAAGTATTATAGTAATATTGCGTATCTATATAATTTTTATATATAGATGTTTTTCGTACGTACTCTCTTGTCATTGTATAAAGATACCGTCCAATGCCAACATTGTTCTACCCTAAAATAGTTGATAATATTACCTGTGMATTTTTGCGTCAAGTACATTATGAAAGCTGTGATCTATAAATATTACAGATTACTCCAATACTATACCCCTGTCTGTCGTCGCGTATATCATATTTGACGTTGCGCTTTTTTTTTGTGTTTCAGATTTCTTTGAACCAGAAAAAACCTCCGTGCACTCGATACATGTTTAAGAAAATGTAATTGGTAAGTGTTTTCTCTTATATTTTACTTATTATATGCAATCAATTCGAAAATCTAAATATCTTAAATAAAATGATGTATTATATCCCTTTTGTTGTAAGACAACAATAGGATTTATTTTAACAAGAATAGTTCCATTTGTTGTATTTAATGACTGTGTAATATTTTTGAGCTTTACGATTAGAAAAAAAATGTTTAGYAAAAATTAAATCCCCAAAACCGAAGTTWACTTTACATCGAGGCAACGAAAACTGGGATTTTTGAAGTATTAACGAAATTGGATTGTTTTATCAGTAAAAATCCTTGACTGTGATCAACCAAGCGAAAACAGTGTTTTTTTAAATGGCTTTTGATCTTTATTTTTTAATTTATATTAAGATTCCTATTTAAACATATTAATTAAAGTACTTATAACTGCGTATACTTAAAATTAAAATGCGCAAAAAATAATAAGTATTATTGTCATTGTTGTATCTACTAGTATAATCTTTTTTGACATCCAGTAATAATTGATAAATTTACTAACACAATAAATTAATGTTTTATTTATACCTATATGTATATATTTGGGTAGATAGGTATACATATTATAAAATAATTAAATTCATCCCGTAAGTATTCCTCCATTAAAATATATTATGTTTTCTGTAAATATAAGGTTAAATATTATTCCGAGAATAAGTAGTTTAATTCAAAAGCTACAACCCGTGGGAAAATTTTTAGTTTGTACAGCTTGATCACATCCCGGCAATCCTCTTTTTAGTGCGCCAATAAAAGCCAAACATAATCTTTACTTTATCCCAAATTAGAAAATGTTTTTAAAAATAATGTACATTTTGTATAAGACGTTGGAAGAAAATTATTGACCACATAATATATTTTTTCCTTTCTGTATTAAATCCACAGGTTACAGTGACGCATATTTTTCAAAAGTAGTTTCGTAAAACTTGTTAATATTATTGTGAACCTAGCAGGGACACCTATTAAACCGTGYGAAATTGATTGCAAGGTTACTTGACAACCGATGAAAAAACAATTTTCAGCACCCGTTTTGTTTTATGATATTGACCTTTGTCATTATATGGGTCCGAATAAGAAATATGTTACCGAAATTGTTTTATTCACATAACTCTCTTTRCCACTTAAATATAATAGCAAAGCGTGAGAGTACCTATGAAATTTTGTTTTTATTTTTACGTTTTGATATTACATATATGGTCATAACTATAATAAGCATCAACGCATTTAGSATTGAGACTTATATTTTCAAGTCGTAAAACTTAATTTTACATTTTATAGAAATAAACTGATTATGATGAAAATTATCAACTATACTATATATTGAAGAATTTAAAAGATAAATCATCATTATTTTTTCAGCATAATCATAAACAAATTAAAATATTAGCTACAGAATTATATATAAATTGATGTAAATATGATTGCAAAACAAACAAAACCAATTAGAAACCTACGTCATCAATGATTTTATTAATTTGTTTTTAATGGGTAAATATAATATTACTTCGCGATTTTAAATCAATTCGGCCATAACTATTCAATATTCCAATCGTTCGATTGGTTTTAATCAGTTATTGAACCGAGAGTTATGATGAACATCTTGAAAGACACTTAACAAACGTATACTGTATTGACTGTTTATAATGCTATGCATATTTCCGTATAATTACAGTTCCCATTCGACTAGATTAAAATATGGTACCTAGAATAAAAATTTCATTATTTATTAATATCGTCAGTAAAGAAAGTAGGAATTAATTAAATCAAAACACAATTTTGAGATAAAAATATGTTGTATGTTATTATATTATAGCTTCTATAAACGGGAATATTGAGAAACGCAATCATGCAACATGATTTATCAGTTCTTACTATGTTATAAATATAGTCCAGAGATAAATAGTCTCTATTTTTAATTAACTTTATTGATAACGTTTTCTTATTAAGATCACGATGTCATATTTGACAGCAGTATTGATGTATCATCAGATTTAAATGTTAGAATATTATCTAGAGTACTACGTACCGCGAATGTTTTTTCAATGTTTTTATTTTGAATTTAGTTATGTAGTCTAATAATTTACATAAAAATTTACAATTTTAAAATGCGTTATACATTGGGTTGGACATCTCACTAGCTTGTTTCTATACATCTTCTTAATGTAGTAATTTTTGTGTGTGACCTTCAATGTAGTTATGATTTAAAGCTATCTTTATTATAGTTTGGGATTTCCAAATCGGTATGATCTTTCAAAAGAACGAATTCTAAAATCCAAAATGTACAATTTTGCGTTTTTTTTTTCTACGTAAATTAACATGTACCTACATTATGTATTAATAGTATCGTCATATTTTATCGTACTAATAACATTATAATGTGATACATATGACTATGAGTCATTTTAATTACTCATACTCATTTGTCACGGTCAAGTTTAATAGTTTAGCATTATCATTATTGCTATTTTTTATGTTGTTGTTATTATATTATTAGATAATATTTGTAATTTGTATGGTAATAAATAACTATCCAATCACCTAATGTTGGCTAATATTATTTTTGGTGGATAATAATACCTAATTGTTTGTTGCAATATATTATAATATTCATTTATTTGATCGAATCATATACTGGGATAATTTACAACACGATCCTAAATGGAAAACAGAAAATCAACTAAGTATCTATACCTACATCATTACTATATAATTAACAATTCAGATTACATATGAATACAAATTTAAATATTGAATTATTCATAAATACACGTGGTGATTCAATTGTATACGTCCMATTGTTCCAATTTTAACGGTTCTATGATAACATTCACAACAGGCTAAGTAAAACTAACAGCTGATACTATTCATTTCTTCCATTCATGATACTTGTGTAATTGGTTCACTAAACAGTTATCGCGTGTATAGTTAAAAAGTCAAAACGGTTCAAACTACTGCTAATCTCGTATATTATAAGTTTATACTGAAATCTAATTGTACTTAAATTACCGTTCTTAAATATATGTAAATATATATAGGTATATTATAATCTTTTGTAGAATTTATAGATGCAAAAATTAAATATTTTATTTTATTTTCTCAGAAATTGAAGGTTTTTGTTTTAAATTTTTAACAAATATTTGTGTAGCGATCTACTACTATGATTAAGATACCAACATATTAAGTTTGTTTACTTTAATAAAAGCTTTATTACGTAATGTAATAGAGAGGTTGTAAAATGTATTCTTAACTGTCAATATTTGGTATTTCTTATAATTCACATAACTTTACTATTTCATAAATAAATTATTGTAAAATATTGTACTGTTAATGGGATTTAGATCATTTCTATTCAGTTCTCTACGAGTGACTTATTTTTACATCAAATAAATTTAAGCATATTTTTTTAATAGTCTCTATGTGCTATTGATTTTATCTAATTCGAATTTAGAAAATATTTTACTACCTACGTTAAATTTAAAAGACTCTGTACTTTTGTACTTTTGATAACAGTCAAGTGCGAATAAAATGTGCAGTCATATTTATAAGTGATATATATATATATATAACAATTGCGAAAAACCATTTGGAAAATCGTGTTTTATATGCATTGAATAGAATACGATAACTATAAGAAAACCCCAAAATGGTTGTATATAGAATTTCAATATCTACTGATGGTCTTTCCTCACACTTCGTCATCCGGTAATATCTTGGTTTTTGCGAAAATGCTTACTTTCAAAGTTCCTCTAAAAATACTCAAAGTAAATCAATTTTTTATCTCTATACTATGCGCCCTTCGGTCATAAAAAACACATTTCTAATACACCACCATTGTATACCTAATTTTTATATAGGTACCTAACTTTTCCTTCAACACTTTGCTGTAAATATTATTCCTGAAAATATAATCTWTTCTAAATATTTATCAAGTGTACCAAATTTTTATGAACAACCCTACACTTGAACAATATTTTATTAATATTTAAATAATATTTTAGTTAGTTAGTTCCTAAAATATAACTTATAGTCAATACATAAATAAAATTGTGATTTATTAACTTTTAAGTAAGTAGGTAGTTATGAATTATTATATTTATATATTTAGTAATGAAAAAGCATTATTTATTTGACACATTTAAATAAATACATTTTATGCCGTCTCTTTTATATGAGAATAAAAATTAATATAACTTTCAATACATTGTCTTTCATTTCATGTATATTTTAAATTAACATATAGTACCTATATGCTTTGAAAAAGTTAATGTTCAATAAGTTACGTGAAATTCTCTAGAGGTCGAAGTAATAACATTTCAGTTATTTATAAAGCTTAAATATTATGCATTTAATGAAAACTATTAAATCGATAGTCAACTTACTGCTAAGTGCCTATATTATTAGCATTAGCCATAACCATTTCAAGGACGCCATCGTTGTCCGTTATGTAAAATCTGTGCTTAGTCAGATGATAATTAAAAATATCATTCTATAAATATTGTTTATGTCTCCGTTAAAATCTCCTCTTTATAATATATATGTATATTGTATAAGGAATATTCCGGTCTCATAATATTGAAGGAATAATGTGTCTCGTATACTAATTCTCACAGTGCGGTTTAACGTATGTTATATATATATATATATATATATAATATATTATACACCTATACGTAGATAAAATGGTTATAACTTTATAAGAGATCAAAATCATAATGAATAATGATGATGATGAAATAACAATAATTAATTATAACAACAATAATTAATAATAATTCTATAGAAATATTAATAACAGTTAAARTGTATTACATTCRCCTAATATCTGAAAACATAATCAATAAACGCGTATCGCCCACCATTTGCTTAGTATCTGTTATAAAAACTAGTTTCCTTGGATTCCCCCAACTTGGTTTGGGGTAAGTTTTTTTTACTCCCACTCGTTTTCAACTTACTTTTTTACCACACGATCTTCGCCTGCCAAC